CCAAACGTGTAGATTGAGGGTCTGAGGTGACCCGTGGCGCAGTTCCGAGTGAGGGTGAAGAAGTCCCGGTTGGGAAGCAGTACTGGGTTTGGCTCTGCCAGGCTTCTTAGGTTGACGAACCAACTTCTTGCTGGCCAGAAGGGTGCGACCAAAAGCAATAGTATGTTGCTGGTGGCCAATAGTTTCTGTATTACTTTTGGTAGCAGAGCTGGAGGGGGGAACGCGTAGGCATTGAGACCCTCCCATGATATTGCCAACGTCCGAGGTCCCATGCCAAGGAGTCTGGGATTGGTGATACTTAACTTTGGAAGTTGGTTGTTGAACCTTGTGGCTAACAGATCTATTTGAGGCCGTGATAACGGTAGATCATCGACTGAAAGATCTGGGGCAGTAACTTCCACTCTGGCCGGGACGGTAGGTTGGATCGACAAGGCATCGGCGATCACATTTTTACCCCGGAATGTGTCTGGCTCTGGTTACGATGTTGAGTGAGTCAATGAGATTGAAGAACCTGATCGCCCATTGTAGCAGATTCGCCGAGCCTGTCGAGCCTAGATGATTTATATACCAAACCACTGTCGAATTGTCTGATTGGATCAACAGACTGGTTGATTGAAGCTCTGTTGCCCAATGTGAGATGGCTTGAATTACCACCTTGAATTCCAGCTCGTTTATATGAAGTACCCGTTCGTCGGATGACCACAGCCCGGCCACTTGGTGGTCGAGGAAGTGAGCTCCCAACCCATGAGGGATGCATCGGCGAATAGGTGATGAATCGGGTGCAAAGGGCATCATAGAGACTCCGGTGCAAACATCCGTTCGTCAAGCCACCATTGAAGGACAGGACGGCGGTTCTGGAAGGCAAATTAGTTCCTTGGGGTTGTCGGCCTGAAGGTACGGGCGTAGAAATCACTGTATCGGCCGGAGTTGGAGCTGGCCTCTGTACGTTAAGACTTGAGCTGACGTCAGAAGGCCCAGTAGCTCCTGCCACTGTCGTAAGGTTCTTGCCTGAGACAGTGCTGGAGGAATGCATTGCTGAATCTTTATCCACCTGTCGTGAGGTACGAACATCATCCCCTGACGAGTGTCGAACAGTGCTCCGATGAATTGGAGTTTCTGAGTCGGTATTAGTTCGATTCGCGATTTTCAACAGCCACCTAAATGGCTGAGCAGCATGGTGGTGAACTGCAGCTGGCCCGAAACAATCTGATCGGATCCTGTTGAGCCCGGATGCAATCGTCTATGTAGCTTTCGAAGGTGATCCCTTGAAAGTGGAGGAAGCTCGTTATGGGCTTGGAAATTACCGATGGTAAAAAGCCGCGGGCCGTGGAAATTCCAAATGGTAGGACTTTTCATTGGTAGTGATTCCGCTGAACGAAGCATAGGTACCTTTGGGTGTTCTGGATGTATCGAGCGTGAAGATAAGCATCCTGAAGATCTAGGCTGATGAGGAAGTCTCCCTTCTTCAGGATGAATGCGTAAAAGGTTGATCGACACCATCCTGAAGCGAGGTGGTGAAAGCAGGAATCGGGCATTGAACAACTTCATATTGAAGATGACCCGGGAGTTTGTTGGAATTTTTCTTTGAACCAAGAAGTATGGGTGAGTAGAATCCTGGAGTGACGGGGCAATGGACTTAGGGGCTCTATGTGCACTTTGTGTAATAAGCGTACCCTATTGTGGATTGCAGAGTCTGAAGCTGGTCCACAGGATATGAGCGATGAGCGGATGCGGCGTCAGAGGTGGGCTGCCAATAACGGGTAGCTGACAGCCGTGAAGTAGCAGGTTGGTGGCGATCTGGATCTTTGAGGATGGTCCAATTCGGAGGCGAAGATCTGCAATCTCCCGCCTACGGAGTTTTGTAAATCGGAGCGACTGGGGGCGGGAGGTCCCAATCGTGGATTGTCTCAAGCCGTCACTGCTCCCGGCTGGTCCCTGGGCCAGAGTTGGTCCTGGGGCGGCGGAGGAACCACCACAGCCAGATCTGTTTCCTCTGCCCGCGGCCTTGGAGTGGATGCGCCCACGAAAAGATTGCGTAAATCAGGATTGGTAGGGGTGAACTGTTTCAGCGTGTTCGACGATGTTTTAATGAGTCCTGGAGCTGTGACTTCTGTATCTTTAACAGTTCAATCGAGACTTGAAAGTGGGTTTCTTTATCAACTTTATTAGATACTTTTGGATGCTACCATTGAAGAGGAGTCAGTAAACCAAGGCTGGAGAAACAGTTCTGTTTTAAATCGCTCCTCCCATGAAGAGATGTTAAGGGGTCCACGTCGTGAACAGCAAGAGTGTAGCTCAAGAAATGAGACAACTGATCCAGGATAATTTGGAACTGGTCCAGAGCTAAAGTCATGCATCCTCGGATGTAAGTGTCTTGATCAGAGTAAGTATGCTCCAGAGCAGTGTTAACTGGCGTCAACTGCTGCAATCACGCAACTAATAGATGGCAGCGTCTTTCTCACGGCTGAATCCATGTGAGCCAACTCTCGGTCCCTCAATAAGGTAGGGCTGAAGCAGCTTGTTTGCCACACAGGGTTCCAATATCCTCATCAACTGTTGGAGCCGTGGACATGAGGAGGTAGAAGGATTATATCTGGGAGCAGAGAATCCGTCCTTAATTCGTTTTCAGGCTCTTGAAACCATCATTTAGTGTACTGGATAATTTCAGAATACAAGGTCGAGGGGTGGTAGGGTGATGGTAGACCAATCCGGTTCCTAAGAGTATAAGAGTGATCCAGGTCATCTGCTGAAGTACTCAAGGGAAGTTGGAGCTTCTCAACAATCCAAAGGAGTACCTGAGGTGTCTCAACTGCTGCAAAGCTACCCCAGGGGTAGATAAGATAACTAAGAGTGAAAGGGAGATGCAGGCATGGCTATTTGGACTGGATCAATCTCAAGAGAGGTGGACCAGATGAAGAGCCAGGAGGTACGAAGCCAGATGGGCTGGAGTAGAAGGCTGTATTTGGTTCCAGGCTGAGGTTATGGCCCTGATCATCATATTTAGATCCGGAGTCGCTGTAGGAGTGGAATTGTTATCAGGTTCCCATGACTCAGCGATGATCCTAGAGTGAGTCGAAGGATTCTCAGAGCGTGTAGACGGAACATCTTAGGCCCATTAGTGGCATCAGAGCAATGATCACCTGAACGTCGGTCAGAGGGACTGTATCGAGATCTCGACGTGGTAAGTACCGAAGTAGGTTGGTAAGCCGGTGATCTGGATCTACTAGTATGGCTAGGTGATCCGGTATGATATGAAGAACTAGTCCGGGTCGCTGTAGTTCTAGTTGGTGATCTGGTTCTTATTGGAACTCTGGTTCGACCATCTGAATAGGATCGGCCATGAGCTGTGGATCTGTACTGTGATCCTGATTGGTCAATGGCTCTGTAAGGTGATCTAAATCGTATAGGTGACCTGGGTTGGTAAGATGATCTGGATTTGAAAAGGGTTCTAGATCGATTCGATGCACTAACTGGAACTGTGATCGTGATCTGGATCTATCATGTGATCTGGATCGAACAGGTGATCTGGTTTGCAGTTCTGGCTTGATTTGGTGATCTGGATTGGTTAGGTGATCTACTTTGATGTTGTGATCTGGATCTGTTCGGTGATCTGGATCGGTCTGGCAATCTGATCTGGATCGCTTAGGCATGTTGTGATCTGGATTCGGTTTGTGAGGTGACCGGTCAGTGTCGGATTCCGTTGTGATCTGATTCCTCTCGATTGTGATCTGGATCGATTAGGTGATCTGGATTGGTCCGGTGATCTGATTCGAAGTTGTGATCTGGATCCTTTCGGTGATCTGGATTGATCAGGTGATGTGGATCGTAGTTGTGCTCTGGATCGTGACTGTGATCTGGATTGATCAGGTGATGTGGATCGTAGTTGTGCTCTGGATCATGACTGTGATCTGGATCAATCCGGTGATCTTGATCGCACGGTGATCTAGATGATGGTGATGGTGTGATCTGGATGATCGTGTGAAGGGGTGATCTGGATTGTGAAGGTGATCTAGATCATTGTGGTGATCTAGAATGATGTGGTGATTTGGATCGGCGATTAGGTGACGAAACCTGAAGTGTTGATTCATGATGAACGTCCCCCGGCGACGCTGTTGTAGCCAGCCCCGTCCGGTTCAATGAACTGTGGGGAGACAGTTGGCTGGTTGAATGCGGTTGGCCAGGCTCCAAACAAACTGAGACAGTCGAGGGGATATGTACTGATGATCTGGATGATGATAGTGTCGATCTAAGGTCCTTGGTAGTGTAGCTGGGACAGGTAACTAAGAATTGGTCACAACCACCCTGGTATCTGTATGGAAGGAGGTGATTGATGCTAATAGGTGCCTAACGTCCTCAGATAAGTAAGAATCTGATGAAGTGTCCATAAAATACTCTTGAACCACAGACGTCGCTCTCTTGCGTGAAGGTACGATTTTCTGTCGCTGTAACTTGATACGCTTGGCGGGAGTGGGATCAGATTCTGTTGATTTCCTGTCCCTATCGGCGATTCTCCGGGAGCAAACACGAAGGTAGGCCTTAAAATCCTCATCTTTTAGTGAATTACACTTACCACATCGTTTGTTCCAGTTACATTGTCCAATACAGTCACTGCAAGACAAGTGAGGGTTGAGGGACGAATAATTGTCTTGCATTGAGCACAAACTTCCCTTTTCCTTGACTGATTATCAGTTTTCCCAATGATGTTAGGGTGAAATAATGTCCCTAATATACAGCACGTCCACACAGTCATGCGACAAGAAAGAGAATGATCATTCAAGGTAGTCATGTGGGCAATTAGTGGAGCATGCTGCAAGCTTTATTAGGAACTAGGAAGCTAATTAAGGAGAGCAGCATGGAGTGCACGGGCGAATGGACAAGGAGGTCTATGGAAAAAAGTTTACAGTCGTTCCACTAAAAGTCGAAGTAAGAGAGAGAGGTGTAAGTCGTGAGATAGGATAAGTTTAAAACTTTGATATTTAATACTCATCACTAGTCCCTACCTCTCCTCTCCCTGCACCATTTCTCACACTGAGTCAGCAATGTTTTGGAAGTTTTGCTGAAATTAGAAGGAGCATTGAGGCTTCCATGTTTTCTGACACGGCAGTACTCAAAATACAACCCATGGAGACATGACAACCGTATCCATGGTTTCACCAGCACAAACCAGACAAATTTTGTTTCCTTATAATTTACTTACATGTAATCATTTCCATTGAATGTTTTAGATTTTGAGTTGGTATTTGACCTGTTTACCTACTTGGTTCCAGCTTAATGAGTGTTAATTAAAACGAAAGGTGTATTTTATTGAAACTAATTTTGCTGTTAATGCTGCTTGTGGTGATTCCTAATTTGAAACTGTTTGTGTACTGCCCCCAGCATGCCATGTTGCAGCTAAACCCACAACAGCAACACATAGATATAGTGTTCAGCGGTAGTGTTCATGCACGAGATGTCCATATGCCATCGGTAAATCAAAATCGGTAAGGGAATACTGAGACAAGAAATAATCAGGGCCCCGTTCCTCAAAGCGATCGTAGCGCTACAACAGTCGTAAGTCTATGTTAAAGTATGGGAGTTACGATCAACTTTGCGCTTCGATCGCTTTGAGGAACGGGGCCCAGGTCATAATATTATGACATCCGATCCTCAGTGCTGGGACAATGCAGACCTGATCTGGGCCAGTCCATCCAGGCTTGTTGATGACACTTGGAACGAGTTATTCTGAAACATGTACAGTAACTACAAGACAAGCAGTCAGGTGAGATGGAAATACATCTACGTTGACCGAACCAAAGGCCTGGGTCACATGTTTTGAAATGTATTATTAATTTCTCAATTTTTTACGGAAATTCTAACTGAAACAGATTTGGTTTCAAATATGACTGATATGCACAAGAAAAGTACTTTGGGCCATTGTGAATTATACACAACCATTTATGGTCTCTGGAATAAATTAACTGTAATAAAACATTGCATTCCAGGATGTTATATGAACTTGAAATATATAAGCCAATCCTTGATCTTCATTAATGCTAAATGTAACTCAAAGATTACTCTACATGTGACATTAATCTGAAAACATTTTACCAGTTTACGGTAAAAGTGGTCCCACAGGAGTGCTATGAGTGAAGTCTCTGGTCCCCACAGTCTGGCCACAGTCAGGCAGCACAGTAGGTAGCTCCGCATCTCTGGCTCCGTCACGCTAGACTGTGCAGACAACTACAGTATGACCACACAAACAAGTGCATGTACATAAGAGTATATATTGCTACAATAGGTATATATTGCTACAATATGATTGATTTTCAAGTCAGTAATTTGGGTTAATGGTGTTCACTATTATAGTGAAGATCTGGGTTAGAACAAATCTTCAACAACCCATGCTTTTTGCAAATTTAGACCGATGGGATGATGATGGTGAGACTCAGTGACCGGTAGATGCATGTCCTCGTATCCCAGGTTACCGCAGGTATGTCAGCATATATCAGGTGTGTGGCTGCAAACGTTAATGATGAGTGAAATGACTTACTGAAGACAGGTTCTTCTGCAAGATATTCTTCATGATGAAATAGTTGCTCTGTGTTGGCTCCTGGAAAGGCAACAAGACAAATTGTGTTACTGCATCTACACAAGGGTTGTGGATAAATACGTTCAACACAGAGTATTACAAAAACGTGTGTACAGAATGATTACAGAATACTTCTTGGTTTATGTTTTCAACACAGGATAAAGTCTTATCATCATCATCATCATCATCATCATCATCATCATCATCATCATCATCATCAAATGGTAAAATCTGACTGACCAGAGTCCGCTGCTGACCAGCTTCATCGATGGTGAAGAGATGTGCGACATGTGTGATGACCCAGAGACTGAACCCAACCGGGTTCTTGGGCCGGGGGCCCGGGGGGTTGACGAACACATCACTGTCTGAAATGTGAACACTTTCAAGACTCATTTCATATTTCTGTTTATTTAGTTTCACCATAAATACAATACTAAAACTTAGCTAAACCTGTAGAGGTTTCCAATTCTTTGAAGAGAATCATCCTCGGGGTACATATATGCATTTTCTGTGGCTGAAAATGTCATGTGACAGTTGTATCAATGTTTTAATAAAAATATTGTACAATAAATAAAATCTTTTTTTATCTATTATACGGCCCCCACCACGTGGAGTTACCTCCCTGCTACGCATGACACGATCTGGATGGAACACAGTCAGCGCCGGGTCTGCCGACATAGCATGTAAGTCGCGACCCTTGGCCCAGATGTTACCGCCACCAGAAATACGGCCTTCCATGTTAACAGCTGAATGTAAATAGCCGATAGACATGAGAACGTAGGACCGGACAGCCAATCTAGCACGATTGACAAATCACAGGGTGGGCTGGTGCGCCTGACAGCATGTCGAACCCGATCCATGCCAGCTAAAAAGCGCTTCATAAGAGGGTGCTGCCCCAGAAGAGCACCTTCGACAGGGGTGTGGAATGTGGAAATAGCGGTGGAATAGCAATGAATGGTCGAAGCCGCCAAGCCTTCTTCGAAACGAGCTTGCAAAAACTCCAATACTCGGACTAAGTCCACAGAAAAGGGATCTGCAATCCCCCTATCTGAACACTAGCGCACATAGCGGAACCACCTATCCTCATATTGAACGCTTGTCAATCCCACCTCGGCCAGAATTGTGTCTGCAACTGCTGCAGGAATTCAGCGGCTTCGAGGCTAGACCTGACAGAGGCCAAGCCACCCACTGAATCCTTGATTGGGGTATGGCACTACCGCTCTGAGTGAGAATGTCCGTCACAAAGGTAATAGAACAGGAGGCTGAGCCAGAAACCGAAACCAGCCAGCTGTGATGGCTTATAGCGGTGCCAGTAGCACAAGTAGCCAAGCTGGCTGGGTGGACAGCTGGGAGAGGACCCGGGAATGAGTGGTAGAGGTGGAAACGCCCACAGCACCTTGCCCGTCCCAATCCAGCAGGAAGGTCTCTGGTCCCGTGATTCGAGAGCAGAACACAGGTATCTGATTCGTCCCCGGCCATACGCAAACAGATCCACCTGGAATGATCCGCATAACTGGGAGATAACTCCTAATATCTGCCGGTCGAAAGCATCCACTGCAAGGGCCAGGATCCGGGCGAGAGAGCCGCCGGAAGATAAACAGGAAGCACCTGCCAGTCGCACCTGGTCGCATCTCAGAGTAGAAATTCCCACGCCTCACAAAGGAGCTTAGGGACACCGCGTGACGCCATGCTTCAGGATGTATGTCATGGCCGCACGGGTTGTCCAACAAAAGACGAACAACCTGGCCCCCTCAACATGCTCCCCGAAGCCGAAAACCAACCGCACAGCTCTCAGTTCTAAGACATTGATGTGAAGGCGGGCTTCGCTTCGACCAGAGTCTGGACACCGACAGACTGCCCAGAACACCCCCCCAGCCCGTGAGGGATGCATCGGTTTGAACTGTAAGAGCTGGTGTCGGGATTTCCAAAGGGATCCCCTTGGAGAGATTCCCAACATTGGGCCACCACTGAAGGTGAGGAGACAACCACCCGGGGACTGTGAGACACTGCTCCAGATCCTCCGAGTGAGCCCACAGACTCGCCAAAGCTTGCTGTATAGGGCGATCCTCAACCGCACTCCGCCACACGATTGGCAGAGATAGTTGCCGCCATATGACCCAGTAAACGGAGCCAAGTCCGTGCTGGTGCCTTGGGCTGGGAGAGGAATGAAGACACCAGCTCCCATACTCTGATGACCCGGTCGGGAGACAAAGAGACAAGACCCTTGGGAGTTGTGAACCTCGCCCCGAGAAAAACCAAGTCCTGGGTGGGTACCAGGTCGGATTTCTTGAGGTTGATGATCCACCCCAGTCGAACTAGAATGTCTATCACCGTTTGGGTAGAATCTAGGCTCGCTGGCTGAGTTAGAGCGCTGAGCAACCAGTCGTCTAGGTAAGGGTAACAACGCCTTCCTTGCGACCTACGAGGGTAGCTGGCACTAACATGAGCTTGGTAAACACCCTGGGGGCAGCGGATATGCCGAAGGGGAGCACCGTGAATTGGTAATACATCCCATCGTAAGAGAACCGGAGGTACTGCTTGAACGATGGATGAATTGGCACATGTAGATACGCATCCTTTAGGTCGTTCGACGTAAGCCAATCGCCTGGCTGAACAGGAGATTTATTTATTGTACAATATTTTTATTAAAACATTGATACAACTGTCACATGACATTTTCAGCCGCAGAAAATGCATATATGTACCCCAAGGACGATCTCTATGAAAAGAATTTCAGGAACCATTTGATTTGTTACATTGCAAGGAGATGGTACAAGATGTGGTTTAACCATGATGAATGTGTACCAGCTGAGTCAGTGGTAGAGTGACTTGAGTGACTTTTGCAACATCAGCCACAGAATTATCAAAGCAATGTTTTTATAAATGTAATATGCTACCCTCCATAGATTTATGCTGTTATTTGTTGGAACCATTGTCAAGCAAAATCTACAAAATCCAACTCTCTCCTGCCAGTTTCTCTCACCGTAAACTTGTGTTCCAGCTTCTGCCTGCTCCTTCACATCACAAACTTCCTGTATGATACCATAGAAGCGTACCCAGAAGGACTACACAAGAAAACAAAACCATATACTCTCTACAACAACCAGTGTTAACAATCAACACTAGACCTATTCAGGAGAAAGCCTATCCTCTTTCCATGCACGCTCAACCACTCATGCAACTAAGACCCAGTCCCCTGGTTGACAAAAATACTTCATCAGCAAATTTTCTGGAAAATATGTTGGCGATGTCTCAGGAGGAAATATGGAGCATATTTACAGAACTATTTGGAAACCAACGCCATTTGTCAATCACAATCCCATTAAGATGCATTCTATAGTTCCGATATCCCACTGTAGCAGAGGGTACAAAGCAGTTCAGAGATTGGAAACAGTTGTAAGGATAATAACACAAATCTCACCTAATAAGAAAAATCAAGCATCGATATCTGCGTTAGAAGTACCTTCTGAAAAGTCCTTAGAACTACCAGGTAATGTGTCCTGTTACTAGTTGCAGGGAAGCAGTTTCACTAGAGTTATGGGAGGACACTCGAGATATAGTACTTTACCTCCTCTCCCAGGGCCTTGTGTCGGTGGGAGGCGAGATGAATCAGCCCCACCCACATCTCCAGCACGCAGGTACATGTGAAGGGGGACACACGCAGGTAGTCGCTGCTCACCGTCATCTGCAAACAGAGTTCCCATCATACAGCACCACCTCGCCAAGGAAAGAGCAGGACTTTCTACCCTTTCCATAGTAAGGCCTACTAAAGGCTGGTTTGACTGTGGTGCTAATCTCTGTAGAACATGGGTTGCCTCCCTCATCATAAAAACACAATCTTCCATTAGGATGCTTTATTTCAAATGGCTTTACAAATCACACAACCAGGTACATAAGATGACAAAATGATTTGAAATTTCATCTCTGGCACAAAACAAATTCTCGATCGTGGCAATAAATTATCGCTCATATGACGATGTTAACCTGATATGAGGTTTTGAAATGACTATTACTAATGATTGATACAACTTTGTCTTGCTATCACTGATCGTAAAATATCACATTATTGAAAACTTCCAATATATAGTGGCAATATCTGGTTTCGAACCTACAACCCTTCGCTCTCTAGCTTGGCGGTTTTATCCACTAGGCTACGTAGGATCGCTGTGAAGAATGAGATTGTGTTTGTCAGTATGAACCATGTGTTCCTCACAAGACGGGTACTGCGGGCAGCGCACGTGCAGAACACGGGTAGCGCGTGCAGTCCATGTGCATTGCGCGTGCGAGGCAAGGTCTTGGCTGCCAGTCACATCCAAACTGACACCGGCTGTTCCATCATTTGCAGGCTGTTCCATCAATGTTGTTCTGCTCAGTAAAGGTACACAAAACATTTGCACAAATTGAACATGATACATATTTGTGTTTTACATTCATGACGGTTCATAAGTCGGATAAAACACTCCTCCTCGGTTTTGGTAGCAAATGTAAACCCTTGGAAAATCAGGGATTTTCTACAGAATTGCCTCCCGTGGATTTTCTACAGAATTGCCCGCATCCCATGGATTTTCTACAGAATTGCCTCATCCCGGGATTTTCTACAGAATTGCCCGCATCCCGCTACAGCAGCCCTTGACTTTGAATTATGACTTGTTTTGAAGATTGAAGATTTTGAAGAACCTATCGGCCCTCCCCAATTTCCCTCTGCCGCACGCTTACTTTTTCAAACAAAACCGACTCCGAGGTTTTGATCCTTTACGTAAGACACAGCATCAAGTAACACTGTACATCATGGCAACAGGAACACTCAGCAGGGTTTGTCTAAAAATAGCATTGCATGTTAATCCTGTCCTAGTTTGCACTCAGATTCATAAATTAAATGAATACACGATGCCACATAGTAAAGTGGCCAAATGTAACACGTTATATTTGGGATTATCATAGCTTTCGGCCATGGGAGCCAAGCCAGTGAACACTTATCAGAGGGGTACACCAAGTCAGCGGTCTAGACAACCAGTTGTCAGACTTCCATTTTTGTGGAAGCCATGGTGCCTTAGTCGGTTAGACGGCTGACTTTGACTCTGAGGGTGTGGGTTCAAATCTTGGATGCAACTCAACCCAACAAAAGTACTAAAATCTGTACTTTACTGAGAAAGTGTAATCCCAAATATAACAAGCGTTATAAAATAACATGGTTGAAAACTATGAACCTCTTTGAAAATATTTTTCTTGGTATAATTATGGGACTGATTTCAGTGCAAATTTCACAGGAGACAGTTGTAGTCATAGCTGCAACCACATCTTGGGAACACAGATGTTGTACCTTATTAAACTTGACCACAGCTGCAGACAGCAGATCCCAGAACACCAGCTGCATCAGCTGGTCCAGATACCCGACATCTGTCATGGCGTCCTCCATCACGGCACACAGGGGCCGTCTCACACTCACACCTGGACAAGGAAAGCATAATTTTAGTTACACCTCATGAAATTTAAGCCAAGTGTTATGTTAAGCTGGCAGCTCAAGGGACCACCCAATCCCGTTAAGCCAAGTGTTATGTTAAGCTATCAGCTCAAGGGATCACCCAATCCACATTAAGCCAAGTCTTATGTCAGTATCCAATACAAGGGTGCACAATAGAATGGCCACTCATCATGCTGACTATTGTACCTGCACACTGGGTGTAGATGATGTTGAAGATGTCGAGCAGACTCCAGTACAGGTCCAGCTGAAGGTGAAACTTGTGATGGCTGCTGTCAGTCTGGAGCATAGAAAACAACCCACATGTTTCGGGCATAGGTCTGTAACCCTATTGTTACATAAAAATTACAGGGAGAAGTAAACCTTCAAATAATTGAGTTTAGTTTTACGCCACTTTTACCAATATTCCAGCAATATCACGGCAGGGGACACCAGTAATGAGCCTCACACATTGTACCTATGTGGGGAATCGAGCTCGGGTCTTCGGTGTGATGAGCTTTAATGCTGATGAATGCTTTAAGCACTAGGCTACCCGACCGGCCCCAAAACTTCACAGAAACAACACAAAGAAAACAATGAACAAGTCTGGAAACATTCTTGGTTACGCTGGGTACTCCTTTAACTGAGAAAAACAATGATGAACCTTTTTAGCACCATAGCTTTGTTCTGGAAGTGATTGCCCTACCCAGGGCCCATCAGCAGAGAGTGAGTCAGTATGGTTTTATGCCACTTTTAGCAATATTCTATCAATACCATGGCAGGTGACACCCAAACAGGACATTTTCCCTTCCGCTGTGCATGAGCATCTGCTAGCTAGCCAATGTCAGTAGTTTTTACTGAAGTAAGCCACAGTTTGACATGGACACCCACTCCGACACAGTATACTGACTCCTAGTCAATAAGTCTTTTAAAGCTCAACTATCATGATTTAAACAATCATCCACAGCTCGCAAGATGCTCTTTCCACCAGACCACAGAGGCGATCAGCAACCACAGGATTCCTCACCTTGTTCCCAAAGAAGAGGGGCGCAGAATGCGGCACAAACTGGAGGACATCAGACAGACGGCCTGTGTAAAGCAAGAGGCCATGGAGCTCTGACACGAGACTCGTCATAAACACCTCCCTCCTCATCACGTCTGCTGGCAGGAAACTGGAAGGGCAATCAGAAAAATCAAAGCCATTATTTACCAGGAACTTCAGGTTCCATTGGAGGAAACTAGTCTGCAACACTTACTTACCTGACTTTCTTTCAGTGATTGCATTAAACACAACAAAATCCACTAAAACGTCCAGAAATTCTCCTAATCTATACTCTCTGAAGGGGTTATTGAAGATAAGAAGAGAACTCAAAATCGTCATAATAGAATAATCATAATTATTCTACGTATAGGAGTGAGTGAGTATGGGGGTTTAACGATGCTTTTAGCAACATTCCAGCAATATCATGGCGGTGGACACCAGAAATGGGCTTCACACATTGTACCCATGTGAGGAATTGAACCCGGGTCTACGGCGTGCACGAGCGAGCGCTTTAACCACTAGGCTACCCCACCCTCCTCTACGTAAAGGAAGTTAAGTACCACCTGATACTTTCACATAGCAATATGAAAGAATCGGTTGTCATAAACTTCTCTTGAGTAGTATGAAACAAATACAGCATCTAATAAGGTCTGTGAATCACTCACTGTAGCAGGTACTGTTTGATGTAGTCCAGAAACTCCTGCAGCTGTTTCCGGAGCTCTCTGGGACCTGGAGGAAGGAAGAACGTCTCATAGTTGTAGTCACAACAATGTCTGTGACCATTGAGACTTTTTTCCACAGTCTTTAATGCTTTGTTTTTCAGTGGAGGAGTCATTTAATTTAATCAGGTAGACATATAACCATATTTTATCACATACCTTCAAGACTTATAAACCTTATTAAAACATGACTTGATGGAAAAACAAATCTATTTACTTATAAATAAAAGGAGAATATCACTTCTTTGTTAAACACATCATACATTGATTCCTTTACAAAGATTCGCATTTATAATTACATTGGGTTAAATAGAATAACAGTTATTAATAAATTCTGGAAAAAATTGTTTTGCATGGCTTTCCCTATTCTAAAGAAGATATTTAATTCCCCTGGCTCCTCTTACCTTCCTCTGATGCTCCCCCAACAGAACACTGTATCCTGCTGACACATGACCTACAACAGGGACTCACACATGACCTACAACAGGGACTCACACATGACCTACAACAGCAACTCACACATGACCTGCAGCAACTCACACATGACCTACAACAGCAACTCACACATGACTTACATGACCTTACAACAGCAGCATGCACACATGACCAACAGCAACTCACACATGACCTACAACAGCGACAACAGCTGCACACATGACTTACAACAGTGACTCACACACAACCTACAATAACAACTCACACATGATCGACAACAGCAACTCACACATGACTTACAACAGCAACTCACACATGACTTACAACAGCAACTCACACATGACCTGCAACAGCAACTCACACATGACCTACAACAGCAACTCACACACACATGACTGCACTCACAACTGACCTACAAAAGCAACTCACACATGACCTGCAGCAGGGACTCAGACATGACCAACACCAGTGACTCACATGACTTACAACAGTGACTCAAGCATGACCTGCAACAGCAACTGACACACTACCTGCAACATCGACTCACACATGACCTATAACAGCGACTCACACATGACCTACAACAGACTCACAATTGACTCACATGTGACTGACAAGAGAGACTCACACATGTCCAACAACACTGACACTCACACAAGACCACTAACAAAGCAGCTCACATATCTCTTTTATCATAATTTGACTAATTTGACCAAAAGGAAGGTCTTTCATAACCTGTATAGAACAAACTTTATGGATAACAACTTCTTTTTATTCGTGCAGTGCGACGTTTCGATACAGATTCTTGTACCTTTGTCAAGGATAAAGTTTGTTCTATATTGTACTTCCCAACTTCTAAAATGCCACTCAAAGAAGTTTCATAACCTGGTATACATAAATATTATAAATGCCACACATTTGAGTATTTTATTTCATGAGTGTGAATGGTTAGACCCTAGTCAGCTTCTAACCCACTAATTCCGATGGCAGTTCTGTGATGTAGGTGCTATTTTTACTCAATAAATCATATATCTGACCAGGAAAGCAAATGCTTTTCAAAGAGAATTTGTCATGAAACACTTGGTGAGCACAACCAGCTTCAGTGAGAGGTCATGATAAATCAAGTACCACTCAATTGTAAACTATAAATCCTGGGCAACTCACTTGGCTAGTAGAAACAGTTTCTCGGTGTGTTCTGTCAGAGCAAGCTGGTTGACAAACTGAAAGCCAAACAGCTCTATCACAACGGCTCTTGATATCAGCGACAGCTCCTGACTAGGGTGTATCATGCTGTCAAGTGAAAATATCAGCTGAATACATAAAAACCTACAAAAGTTAATAAGGAAGTTTCGCAAACAATAAGTCATGCACAATTCCTGCCCACACCACTAAAGTATTCTTATATCGAGAAGTATATATACTGTCAACTACAACAATAACAAATATAGAAGAGGCTTCAGTTATAAAGAGGGGTCACTTCATATAACAGAAATATTTGCACTATGCAACAATAAACTAATCACATGCTACTTTTGTATATGTATTTCCCAAAGCATGCATTGTGAGAAAGGTTTTTTTAAAAACCTGTTACTCAAGTTATCAAAAGAAATGTTATAGAACAAATTGTTCTTACTTTTCAAGAAAAAGCACAGCTGAATATTGCAATAATTGTGCTTTAAGATGTTGATGATCTTTGTTTAACACTTACCACTTAAGGGCTCCCTTTTTAATAATGCTGTTATCATGGAGACAAAATGTCTTACAAATCCCATGCACTTCTCCGCCACATGTGAAACAAGGTACAGTCCGAGCCTCAGGAATTTCATCATCTAAAGCAATGACTTTCAGAGAATATTTTCCAAAATACTAATACGAAAGAATATGTACCCTTACCATGTTTATTCAAACTAAATAAAGGAATTTTTTTATGAGACATATATGTTAAGAATTAATTTAAACTAATCATGATGATATACAATGAATTGTGCAATGTCTGTAACTCCAAGCCTGGCTACAGGCACCTGCCAAACACTTGTTATATACTGTAACGATTGTACTATCAGGAATCTACTGGTTGTAGAGACACAAGTACATAACATCGTGCCTCTTGTTGGAAGGGACAGAGCATTTTATACTCAAACTTTTCCAGAAAGACATAAAGGAAATAAATTGTCCCAGAAAATTCGAACAAACTGATGATATAAAAGAAAAAAATGTCAGCCATAAAATTAAATGGCTGGATGCACCTTTTGAAAAAAATATATCTAGACCCCGAGATTTAATTAAGTATCTGGTTTTATTTCACTTTGGGCAGCACACCAGAGACAATTATAGGCATAACACGAAATAGTATTCAGGGCATAACTATTTTGTCTCTGTAGCTTGAATAATGTTCCCTGACATTGCATCCTCATAGCTCAAGCTCATTACTTTATAAAATGTAATTCAACAGCGCCCATCTATAAATGACAGTGGAGATGTTACAGTGTTATGTTTAACATAATGGAAACAGCCTAAGTAAACTGTATATGTGCAGATGAAATATTTCTTCATCAGTATTGACTGACTGACTGAGTTTGGTTTTATGCCGCTTTTAGCAATATTCAAGCAACATCACGGCAAGGGACACCAGAAATGGGCTTCGCACATTGTGCCCATGTGGGGAATCGAACCCGGGTCTTCGGCGTGACAAGAAAACGCTTTAACCATTAGGCTACCCCACTGCCCCGCATCAGTATTGAAACAAGGAAAGCTAGGTAAACCATAGAAAACAAATGTGAATCCAAACATTATATCATCATTATACCTTAAATTGCAAGTTGATTATGAAGGTTATATGTCATAAAGGTCATGTTTAACTTTAATGATAAAGAAGACTCAAATCTTTAGAAAGCGTATGGCAAATGTAGCAGGGAAATCTTCATGCAAATTAAACACAAACTTAATCTTAAAAGAAAAAGAAATAAAATTTTAAAAAGATCCAATATCATGTTCATATGTTTTAGTTTTTGAAAATATTGTAGTTACCATGGTTGCCATTCTGACAGTCGAGTGTCCCTCTGAGAAGTTTTGGGGGAGATGGTTCCATGAAGTCCTCATACAGAAGGGGAAGGGGAGAGTGGGGTGGGGTCATCGAGCAACTGTCCGCATCACACATTGTCCTCATAAGATTTTCATTCTTTTTGAACCAGTAAATGACCTCAGGCTGTCATCTGCCTGTAATTTTTTTTATAAAACTCAATGAAATTTCACTCCTTATGTTTAAAGACATTCTAAGCAGTATTCCAGATAACTCATTTCATGTGAACAGTTGGTAAACATGGTAAAAGGCTCAAGTGAAGAAGAAATACAAATCATTCTGATAACAAATCAAAACTACCAATTCGAACTTCGGATTAAAAATAATGAAGGCATACTATATACAATGTATACTTCCTTTCAAAAGTTTAGACTCACTTAAAACACTTACTATATGTTATGTATATTTATATATACATGGTTACATCAAAGATTGATTGCACGAGGATCATGCATCAAATTGCTGAAACGCATCAGAGTTGGTCTGATGTTATGATTATGATTATGATTAGTGTTTCATTGAGTATTCTATGTTTAGTTGTTTTCGAGTTAGATTGCAATTCATCAGTCGGATTTTGAGACAAACGGACTAAGGGACCGTTCATAATTTGTAGCTGGGGCCTGTGTGTGTGTGTGTGTGTGCGTGTGTGTGTTTTGATGATGATTTTAAGAGGGGGTCATTCATTTTGTTCTGGGGAGCTAGGGGGTCAGCAATTTTGTACGCACATACTAGGGGGGGTCAGCAATTATGTACATAAAAATATGTTTAAAATTATGCTTAGAAATTATGGGAAGGGGAGGGGGAGGTCATTGATTTTGTACATGACATGCAAGGAGGGGTCACTTATTTTGTACTTAAATTTTAGAGGGGGGTGTCATTCACATTGTACATGCTTCTCCATAAAAATCATCACCACCACCCCTAGCCATAAATTATGAACGGTCCCCAATACTTGGCTTTTTGGAATCAAGACACTTTGAACAAAACAAGATGAAGTAGATACCTCACTCCTGTAAGTTTCAGATGGTCACCAAATGATTCATAGAATACAAAGACTTACAATTATCACAAGAAAACTTCTGATTTGTCCATAGTTATGCAGTAGTATGAATAACGCGTAGGACTAACTTAGTCACTAAGTTGACACGGAGATGACAGCTGTTTTTAAACTGTAAACGTTTTTATTAGCTGTTTATTCGGTTGTTCATTTGAAACGACAGTTTGTATTACATTATGCTTTAACACTCAAAGTGAAATGACAAGGACTTTTCTCAATACATGGTGATGTAAATACTAATTGACGAGATATCACCTTCCCACAGAGTGCGCTTTGAAATGCTTCCTTTTCCCGCTGGAAATACAAAGGGAGGTTACTCTCATGTCCTAGTTGCAATGAACAGCCGAAAAAGATGAATGATGAGAAGCAAGAACAATTCTCACATTAGTAACAGCAGTAAGAGAGTAAAATGTTTTACTTATACTGTTAATACAAATTTTCAGAGGTGTATATGTTGGATAGAGGAAATGTAAAAAACGTGTATTCAGAGGATATTCGAAAAGATTCTCCCCCTTCTCTGTAAGAACATTATCACGTCTTCTTGTGACGTCATTAACGACAAGCATGACGTCATGTTCGAGTTCGTTGATAACGGACGGTTTTGTTAGTTGCTCCGAAACCTCGACTCGGTCGTTTTGATTCTTACACACGTGAGTAAATATAACTTTATGCCGTAAAGTCGCCCAAGTTCTTCTTCAGTTAAACATGTATATATTTGAATTAATTGAACCATCAGTAATTGTACTGTTTTATTTTATTTATTCGATACATTTAGACTAGACTATCTGACAAAAATGCTAAACGCAGGTTGACTGTTTCAAGATACAAAATGTTCGTCCAATCTCACGCAGCATTTTACATATGCTATTCATTTGTTACGCATTTTCTAAAGTCTGCACATTACGATAACCATAATTGTGAGGCTAACTTTCATTGTGAAAATAACCAAAAACGTGAAGTTATTTCCCTTTTGCGTTTTATCTTCCACACCAAGGCCGAGTTGACAATGGTGGTGTCAACACCATTGATAGGTATAAGTAAATCTCTTGTCTGAATAGTGTATTGTCCAACTCCCTCACTGTCAAATATATGCCTGTCTATATATTTATTTATCTAGCTAGCTATCTAAGCCGGACTGCACTGATGAATTAGCCAAGTTCATGTATTTTGCAAACAAGAGATCAGTAGATCTACGGTCACGTGTAATACAAAAGCCACAAAATCGTGTATGTAATGACATACATGAGAATTTATCTAAATGCATAGCCCAGAAAAAGGATGTAGTGTGTCATATTTAGGGTTGCGCATTTCTGTGTATCTTGAATTTAAAATGTATTTCCCCGATCGGCAAATCCGTTAGTTTTTAGTTCTTGTCATTAGACCTGTAAAATGAACTTCATGTGTTTTGCACACATTGCAATGAATTTTCAGGACATATTATCAGCGAGCCCAAAGGTATTGTCTTACTTGGGGATAATTTACCAATACTCACATTTCCTGTTTAGCACATTAAACGCACAAAAAGAGGCACAATGTTTCAGTTTGGCTGGCCTGTCCGTCCTGCATTCTGCAGTTTTTGGTGTGTTTTTGGTTTTGTTTGGGGTTTTTGGTGTGAATGGGCATCATTTTCAAAATTTGCAATTGTTTAGTATTATTATCGCATCAATTATCTTATTCTAAAATTGTGTCTAAATCTTAAATTGTATGTTATACATGTCTGAACATGTTACCATATAAACATGGAAACAAATTATAGTTAGTGCCAAATAATTACTTTTCAGGGTCAATATTTACCCATCTTCATGATATTCAATTTCAATCTTAGACCAGTGCTTGTCAAACATTTTCCCATAACTCTATAAAGATAAGCTTAGATTAAGCTATAATAAAGGATAACACATTAAATATTTTAAATATTTCTGATGAAAAATAGCTCTAAAATGGTTTGATCTCTTGTGGCTTTTCGCGTTTCGGTGTATAATTCTTCACACAAATTGGCATTATCAATTATCAGAACTGAGTTCAACCGAGAATGTTAAAATATCCGTACTTTATACAAGTAATAGTAATGTAATACGCATTTTACGTTAATTGTCTAAAAAAGCAATATTATGATTTATTAAGGTTCCAGTTGGAAATCCTGTTGTATTTTGATTTGAAAACCGTATTCAAGGAAATGAAATATTCGTTTTTGGCAAGTTATAGGTACGAATTAACGCACAGAGTTTGAAAATGACTTGTATATTTCACCTGGTGACCTACTGTCCTTCTATTGTACAAATGTGTCATTTCAGTTTAGTTTCAATTTTTCCTTTTACAGCAGTATGGCGAAGTCAGTGTATCTTTTAGGATTGGCAACCCTGTGTCTTCTTGTTGTACAGCAAGGTATGGAATCTTTCCTTCTACACCCGTAGCCTGGCTCCACCCATAAGGGTGCCAATCCCCTGACGGCCTTGTTATACGCTAGTTATAACTGTATTGGACATTGTTATGACTATTCGTATACATTGTTTATGGTTACCATTACTATAAAACGTAGATAAAATCAAAGGATTTTGATCTGTATTGAAAAGTAAGGCCTCTCGCTTGGAATTGAAACTGTTTTTCCCTATAATAAGATCCACCAGTTTTGATTGTAAATAACATGGATATTCAATTTCATTTTTTTATCAATCAACTGCATAAATGCATATCTTGTCATTTTGTCCTTTGATATTGAGCTATATTTCCTTATTTTTTAAACAGACGTACTGTCTAGTGCCTGATATTTGTATAATCAAATATAGCCAACAGGTATTTCTTATGATGCAAGTATACCCAACTGGCAACTGAACCCTGTATGATTTGTTCTAATTTCAGCATCTTCAACATCATCAAGTAACTCTGATCCACCAACACCAACACCAACGATAACGACACCACCACCGTCGACAGCACCGACAACCCCACCAGTTACCACCCCACCAGTTACCACTCCACCAGTTACCACTCCAGCATCCACTGCTCCCAAGGAAACCTCCTCATTTGTGCTGTTCTCCGTCATCATAGCTTCTGTGTTCTTATTTCTTGTCATTTTCCGTTAACACCTGTGTCGAATGTGAATGAGATGGCAATTTTCCCCCCATTGCCTGAAAACAAACTAAAGTGGCAACCAGCTTCACGTGCAAAAAAACTGTATACAAACCAGCCCAATCCCCTCAGGGTATTTCAATTGCAGTGCCAATGAACTGAAAATGGACACCACAACTGAAAATCAATTTGATGGAGATTTGGAAGTTCCTATGGTGGCGGTGTCGTTAGTATTTGGAAGTTAAGACTTGTAAAATAGTAATATCAACTATATTTATGCATGAAGTGAAGGTAACATAGCAAGACAAGATATTTGAAGCCTAAGTGCTGATGTCTGTCTTTGAAGCTTTGGCCTTTGACTATGACTGCTGAGTATATTCATTACCCTGCTGTATAGAATTATCTCATTTAGTTGTTATTCTCTGGACAGGATGTTAAGTAAATAAAAAGTGATGTTCTTATCAATGTGTCCACACTTTTATGTTAGATAGATAAGTAGAGTTGTGACGATATATCGTAGTATCGATAATCGTGATACTTTCTCTGACAATAAATATATCGATACTTCTTTCCGTATCGTGATATATATCGTTGACCTTTAAATTGTGAATTTTCACCAGAAATTGACGGTTATGTCAAAATTTACACTGTTTCTTGTTATCAAAATACACTTTTTCATAGAAAATAACTAAAGATAGCATATCGTGATATGCATCGTATCGATTCGTATGGTTCTATGATATCGCGATACGTATCGTATCGTAAAATTTCTGTATCGTCACACCTCTATAGATAAGGTAAAATAATGCTTTATTATCCCGTGGGACTTTGGCTTACAGATACAAGATCTTGTTGACAAAACAACTCAGCAAACAGTGCAGGGTATTAATTAAGAGAGCAATAGCACACACACACATACACCTACGTACGTTCAATAATGTCAGTCAGTATGTAGTATATGTTTTATGAAAATATATGTCCTTATACAGGAGGAACGTGCATAAACCACAGCTAAACCATTTGGAAGTAATGTTAAGTTACACAAGTAAAAGAGTAAATCCGATTAAAATACGTTTTAAGCAACCCATTCTTGTCCTGAGAGATGGCAGTCACAGGATCAGTCACCGGTGAGTCAGAGCATTCTGTAACGTCATCGGTGCCAGTCCACGTGTTGACCTCTTACGAGAATGCCTAATAGCATATATACTTGAAACGAGATTTGTTTCAAGTATTTCTAGCTCATGTGTTTACATTTAAAAATACAATTTCAAATGCACAATTTCTCAGACAGCTGTCGAACTACAAAAGGTGCAACGATCAATCTGACGCCTACATCATGGATTCTTCCCACTTGTCAGTCTAGTCAGTATCTATTTTAAGAGACAAATAATATCAACGCCAACGCCTTTTGTTCTCCCAAAAGAAGCATTTAAAATCGCAAAAATGTTAAAGAAATGTGCATGTTTTGACGACAGAAATATAAGTATATGTGGGAAATTTATAGTCAGGGCTCGATTTAAGAGATGTTAACCTACTTGCACCAGGTGCAACCTGAGATAAAAACCTAGTTGCACCATCCAAATTCCAGCTGCACAGCTCTTATTGCAATATGTTATGAAAGGAATATGCTATTGAATTATTTAAAGTTTAGAAGAAAAATGAGCTGACATAATTATGCTTATAATGTTAGATTTATTGTCGATTTATTTCTAAAAAATTGACTTGCACCTGGTGCAAGTTAGACAAATAACTAGGTTGCACTTTGTAACATTGGGTTGCATCAGTGCAAGTAACAATGCACTAAATCGAGCCCTGATAGTTGATACTGGTCCAGGGCCTAGCTCTCAACAGATCAACCGGTTGTCCACTAACAGTTCTTGTGACAGTGCCAAAACAATGATGGATCGGGAGTCTTGTGGATTCAACATATAATATTTTTTTCTTTTGAGGGTGGGGTGTGTGTGACAGAGCCACGGAATTGTCATGAGCCTACCAGATTAATGTGGTTCTTTGTGTGTGTGTGTGTGTGTGTGTGTGTGTGCGCGCGCGCGCACGTGTGTACATAGTTCAGTATTTTACGAATATTAGGATGTTATGCTTTAAATCAGCATACTAGCAATAGCACAGGGGAGGTACATTGGACCTCTGACATTAGAGTCAATCAAACCTGGGCCTTCGTGTGACGAGTGAACGCTTGGACCAGGAGGCTACCACACTGCCTTCACCACAGAGAGGCACTGCAGTGTGTAGATTATTGTAGAGCACTAAAAGATCTTTTCAACTGAAATTTCTCGACCACATATTACGAATAGTTTTAAGGCTCGTTTGACAAAGCGATCTCCGAGTACGACTACCCCGGGTTTATGTTAAAGTGGGTGAATTATAATGCATCGTCACGTCAGCAAAAATTGAGCATTAAGTATCAATGTCAGTTAATTTACCGTCGCATCAGTTTTATTTCCGCCATGTATCGACAATACTTATTAGAGAGGCCACTTCTTTGAATGCTGTAGTTTATTGCTCTTGTAGATACATTGGAATTGTAGCAGAGAGCTAACAAACTGTAGGGCTGGGTCCCGATCCACAAAGCGTTCGTAACGTTACGACCTGTCGTAACTCTATAGTTTATCATGGACTTACGAACGCTTTGTGGATCGGGACCCAGGCTATCGATATAGATCATAGAAATACACTTAGTCTAAATGTTGATCGATTATCGATAAATATCGGATACGTAACTTTGACCACATATGCCCAAAACGTCTGAAAAAATGAATATATTTCACAATCACCTGTGAGTGGTGACATGTTTATTCATGCATTACTAAGGGAATCCAGATCTGTATAGGTTTGGGGCACACACTGAGACGCAAATCATATTATTCACCCCACACTGAACGAGTAGGGAGCTGTTGGGTTCCCTAGTGATAAAAGCGTTCGCGCTCGCCACGCCGAAGACCCGGGTTTGATTCCCACATGTGTACAGTGTGTCAAGCCCATTTGTGGTGTCGCCGTGATATTGCTGGAATATTGCTAATAGCGACGTAAAACCGAACTCACTCACTGAACGAGTAGTTCCGAAGGGAACACTGGTGAGCTTAAACGTCAATACTTTCACACCCGCGCAACTGTGCCTGTTTACAAAGATAAGATTCATAAGTTATTAACAATGGATTGTATCATCAACTGATTCAAAAACATGGGATATGATTGTTATGACACCTGAGATATATGTGAAGCGTGTAGAAATGAAAGACCTAATGACTTTTAGTGATAACCGTAAGTGCCAGTGAAACCTAAGCGACTGCATGTCCCCAATCTTAATCTATCACAATATAGTTTCCCGCGCGTGATGATTGCAAGCAGCTTGACGTCAGCCAGGTGTGTGTGATGTGCGGCAATACCTGCATAGTAGTACGGGAGTGACAGATGTGTCACGGTGTAGAGTACTCCAACCACAGGCCCACACTTACCAGGCTGTGTGCGGCAATACCTGCATAGTAGTACGGGAGTGACAGATGTGTCACGGTGTAGAGTACAGTACTCAACCACAGGCCCACACTTACCAGGCTGTGTGCGGCAATACCTGCATAGTAGTACGGGAGTGACAGATGTGTCACGTGTAGTACGGCCCACACATACCAGGCTGTGACAGATGTAGTAGTACGGTGTGACAGATGTGTCACGGTGTAGAGTACTCCAACCACAGGCCCACACATACCAGGCTGTGTGCGGCAATACCTGCATAGTAGTACGGGAGTGACAGATGTGTCACGGTGTAGAGTACTCCAACCACAGGCCCACACTTACCAGGCTGTGTGCGGCAATACCTGCATAGTAGTACGGGAGTGACAGATGTGTCACGGTGTAGAGTACTCCAACCACAGGCCCACACATACCAGGCTGTGTGCGGCAATACCTGCATAGTAGTACGGGAGTGACAGATGTGTCACGGTGTAGAGTACTCCAACCACAGGCCCACACTTACCAGGCTGTGTGCGGCAATACCTGCATAGTAGTACGGGAGTGACAGATGTGTCACGGTGTAGAGTACTCCAACCACAGGCCCACACTTACCAGGCTGTGTGCGGCAATTCTCACCAGCCAACTTTTTCGTGACGATCATATTTACTATATTTATCAACATTTGTAACAGTTGGACTCATAGGTTTTCCCAATATTTACCAACGCGTGCGATGTACGCGCACTGAGGCCCCAGAGTTCATTGGCCTACATGTACCGGCCTATGTCAGGTGTGCTTAAGTCTGTTTTTAGAACTTACATTTATGTTCTAGTATATCAACTGTCTGCGAGCGGGCAGTAATTAAACGATGGGGCATTAAAGACTCGTAAACGTCTGACGACCTGTCCGTCCGGGAAAGATGCAAAGTGGAAATTGGGTGATTAATGTGACCTGTTATTGAATAACTGCCTCTTGTTCCTAACACCAGTATTGTTATAATCGCTGGTACTCCACAGGGAGTGGGCGAGCTGGGTCTTTCAGGTATGCCATGTCAGTTTGATGTGGGGGAATCGCCTGGAGTGAAACACGCTGGTAGTATAGGCAGCTTCGGTGAAACCACGACCGCGGTATAATAATGGTGCTAAAACCAACTGTCGGACCAAATGTGAGGGTCGATTCCAGCCCTGTACATCCTATAACTTGTTGTATGTTACACTGGTGGCTCTATCAGCAAGCGTTATGTGAAACGGAACCCTGTCTGTGACCAATGATATGCACTCCATGGCCATAAGTAAGCTCCACAAATGGCTAACGCTATCATATCAATGTAAATCACAAGGGCATAGAACCAAGGTGAGGTGAGGTGAAATTGGGTTTAACGTCGTGCTTGAGAATATTTCGCTCATATGACGACGTGCATGCGTGTGTATGTGTATGTGCGGCTGCTTGTACTAGCCCAGACTTAAGCTGGTTTTATAGTGCTAGCCCACTGAGATACCATGCCGCAGTGAAGCATGAATACCCCATTCAGACACATTATACTGACTCCGAGCCGACCAGTCCTTGTTGTACCCATTAATGCCGAGCGCCAGGCAGAACCAAGACAAAACTGTTCGAAGACTATTTGCTCCAGGTGAAGCAACATCTGTTTCGATGAGGGACAAAATGTTGTTGACTGACCGTCGGGACATTAATGTAAGTGTCAATTTAAACCGTTTAACCTTGAAAAAGATTACACCCATATTACTTTAAACTATTCTCTCTCAGAACCCTCTTTCAGTGAATGAGCTAATATTTCAATTTAGTTTCGCTCCGGGAAAATCTCATTTACTCGCTCTTTTTCAGAAATATATTATATTTCCCAATTTAATTTGTCAATAATATTCGAACGTTGCCTTAATTTTGTCTTAATGTTCAAATCAAGAATCATCAAGTTTTGTTTATTGTTCAAAGGCTCGGCGAGGGCTTGTTAATGAATCCTTCTGGGCCAGATATCCCAGTGATTGTGAGCCCGACGGACGCCGTTGGGGAACAATGACACGCCGCCAACCAGGTCAAGGAGTCGCCTCTTTGGTCCAGCATAATGTGCTGGGGAAAAATACCCACGGTGGAAACATCAAGTAAATGTGTTAGAATGTCACAAGCGTCGCATTAAAATAAACTATAGAATAATGGAGAGTATCAAATGTACCTTTCATACGATCGCAGACACAAGAAAAACACATTGTAATTGTGAAATTTATTTCAGAAAATAGGAAACTTGAAGGGGAACGAATCATTTATCTATGAGGGATTAAATGTAAAGAATGTGTATATTATTCTGAAATGAAGATTCATAGAACCAAGGAACGACGACTCAAGTAATAAATAATTACAATAATGTTACGAAGCACAATTTTCATACATCAATGGATGATTTTAGGACATGCGACAAATGACGGACAAATTCTATTAATATGGATGAACCAGTAAAATAACTGATTCTGTTTCGTTTATAACAAAAATATTGACACTTCTTTACATCATGTCGGTCCAATATGGACTTCTAGCTCTGTAACCTGACCATTATATCCGCCATTAAAACACTCAGAATCATGGCATACCATGGAGAAAAACCGCTCTGTGCATAATGTAAATATTAAAACTGTATCTTCGGCATTCAGATCTTCAATGTTGAAAAGTCAGTTCATGGTATTACGCTGTGGTTAAACGATAGGGAAGAACGTTCTGCCCATCACAATAATGTTTAAACTGTATTGTATGTGAGTGAACCCATCTGTCAGTGTTCACACCCAGAATTGTCCGAAGACAGCTCCGTTGCTACAAGGAAAGAGTATGTGGTTGCTTGAACCCGATGGCGCATATGTCAACTTCAATGCGGACCAACAGCTTGCGTGGAAGATTTCTCCTCGGGAGTCTTAGCGTCTTGGCCTCAACGTCTGATAGCCTATAAGTGAGACTGGGAAGCTGCCGACGTTGGTGAGGAATCAGTCTACGTCCAGGGTGAAGTCAACGCTGAACTTACACGACGCCATCTTTCTTCTGTGATTCTCGTCGAACTCTCGACTTTCTTCGGGAGTAAACCAGTTGCGCCAATCACCGACCTCCCCTGAATCAAAAGAGAGAGAAAATATTATAGTATGAATAAAACAGTTGCAAATAATGAAATAATGGATAAACAAAATGTGTTTTCATCAGCTGTCTTTCCAATGTGTCTCTAAACCACAGGATCTACCCAGTCTATCAACCCCGACTGGGAGCCGTTGCACAAAGCAGCCCTAGCGCTACGACAGTCGTAAGTCTATTTTAAGGTACGGTATGGAAGTTATGATCACCTTATGGTTAAAGCCACTGTGTACAATGGACTTATAAGTTCTAAGCTTCACACAGAATTACGAAATAGTGAAATATTGTGTTGTGGACATTGAATGATCTCAACGAGGTATATCCGGAAAATCTTAAGTCATCTGGGCAAATTGTTACAAAAACATGTGCAGGGGTGTGACAAACCGGAGGTACGTGCGCCCGTATACTTGTGTCGCTGGGTTCACCAGCCCGGACTTACAAGCAGTGTTTAGTGCTATCCCACTGAGATAACATGCTGCAGTTATAACAGTCATGAATACCACACGGAGACGCAGTAAACTGACTCTGACCACTTCCTGTTGGATCATGATAAGGAACAGGCATGGTACCAACAAGCAGATACCACCTTTGGTCACGCCCAAGCCCCGGGTTCGATTCTCCACATTCCTTTACATGCTTCGAAAGTTTTGTCTCTTTGCATCACGCACATCCGAAGTTAATGTTAACATACATTACGCGACGTCGCTTTGCCGTAAGAGGTTGAGACTAGTGAGATCGGCAAACTGTATGACGGTGGAATAGTCTATACTTGTAGCTTTGTACATTCGATCTTTCGTCGGCCCCACAAGTGCACTATGTGTGAAGCCTGATATAGCTTGAGATATTAATAAAAATACTCATTGCATCTGATGTGGTTCTGAGGTAATTTGTACACCGTGAAACATATGTGGTTCTCGTAAAAAACCCTTAACAATAACAAGAAATAATGTCCTATGTATTATGATTATAATTGTTATCCATGGTAATATAATCAGAATCAACCCCAGACCACGAGAATCTACCATTTAGCATCACCATATTGAAACAGTTGTAAAACCCATTTATGAATCAGGGTACAACCCTGTTTGGCCCACAGCACACAACATATTTCACCATTTTATTTCGCCACAGTGACGCAGTCTCACCGCTGTATGGACGTAACGAACGACGTAACGAACGACGTAACGACGTAACGAACGACGTAACTATTCACTATGGATAATAACCAAAAGCAAAAACATCTTGGTTACGTACAAAGAAAATTTCATTCCAACTATTCAATCTTCCTCAGAAGTTACGAATTGACAAAACAGGTAAAGAAATTCCATATCGGCTTGAACGGAATGTGTCTGGGTGAATTCGTGGAATGTTGAAACCGCTTAGAGCAAGTTCTTACGTCTGGGTGCCGGTTACCAACGTTTGTTTATGATGCCTTTGGCAGGTTTTAGAGAATACCGACAATACGTTCCTTTCATGTGACGGGACAGATATAATCACCCTGACATGGTCGTATCCATAACATGGTGGGTGAAAACTGCAGATTTAGGCGTGTTCCCATTGCTGCTGACAGACTACAGCTTTCATCACCAGCTCCATCCATCAACGCTATGTTTTTGTTGTATTTGTTGCAAGGTCCACGAGGGAAAACGTCATTAAGTAAACTATCCAGGGTTAGAAGGGACGGGGCGAATATTGGTCGCATACTCAACAGAAAATTGTCTAAGTTAGTTTGATAAATGAAGCGGAAAGGCGGAAACCAAAGGCTGAAGATGAATTGCTTCTCCTGAAAAAAATATTCTATTTAATTACTTTTAAAGCCGCAGTGTATACCTAGCAGGTTTATGGACGTCGATTCATCAAGATGTACTGTTGAAGAAACCGCCGGAGATTTGCATTGGCGGACAGGTGTGACATGTGCCCGAAATGCCAATCAAGGAACATCTACAAATACAGCGTCGTGTCAGCTCTTTGACGGAAGTCGTATGATGGGTTATTTGTTTCATTGTTAACCGTTCGACATATTTCATATTTTGCGTGTAAAAAGCTGACTAGTCGACAGATACATGTATAAATAGTGCATGTACAGCACTCTTTTCTTCGTTTGCATCGAACTGTCGGTGCATCTTTGTATAATAAACTCCCTTCTTAAATATTCCCCAATGAAGACTGTCTTGTCTGTTTTTTATTAAAGAAATCTTCATGACAATAATTAACCATTCTCGATCCTCTTTTTCAGTACGATCAGTTAAGTGCATCTTAATACAACTGTATAATAATCCACCTGTTTAATATGCTACAACGAAAGAGTGTCTGTTTGTTGTTTAACGCCGCACTCAACTCTATGGCGGTGGTATGTCAATAATTAAGGCTGGACGAGACATCCCAGTGACTGACGTCATCGATCTACGCAGTTGTGACACCATGACATACATCAACCACCCGATCACATTACTCAACTCTTTGGGGCGATGATGATATTTATAGGGTAGCATATACAATGTGAATGACATCCCCTCACCCCTCACCCCCACCCCCGGTATTTCATGTACAAAATAACCCCTCCAATCCCCACCTCACAACCCTCCCTTCCCGTAATTTGTATATATTTTTATTAATCCAACCTGGTACATGTGTACAACATTGATGTTCCAGCATGGGTGTGATGGCGCAGGTCTCAGAGTTTACCACATAAACCCACCAACATGGGTGAGGTGGCGCAAGTCCCAAACGTTTACCACATAAACCCACCTGCATGGGTGTGATGGCGCAAGTCTAAGACGTTTACCACATAAACCCACCTGCATGGGTGTGATGGCGCAAGTCTCAGACGTTTACCACATAAACCCACCAGCATGGGTGTGATGGCGCAAGTCTCAGACGTTTACCACATAAACCTACCAACATGGGTGTGATGGCGCAAGTCTCAGACGTTTACCACATAAACCCACCAACATGGCTGTGATGGCGCAAGTCTCAGACGTTTACCACATAAACCCACCAACATGGCTGTGATGGCGCAAGTCTCAGACGTTTACCACATAAACCCACCAACATGGGTGTGATGGCGCAAGTCTCAGACGTTTACAACATAAACCCACCAACATGGGTGTGATGGCGCAAGTCTCAGACGTTTACCACATAAACCCACCAACATGGGTGTGATGGCGCAAGTCTCAGACGTTTACAACATAAACACACCAACATGGGTGTGATGGCGCAAGTCTCAGAGTTTACCACATAAACCCACCAACATGGCTGTGATGGCGCAAGTCTCAGACGTTTACCACATAAACCCACCTGCATGGGTGTGATGGCGCAAGTCTCAGACGTTTACCACATAAACCCACCAACATGGGTGTGATGGCGCAAGTCTCAGACGTTTACCACATAAACCCACCAACATGGGTGTGATGGCACAAGTCTCAGACGTTTACCACATAAACCCACCAACATGGGTGTGATGGCGCAAGCCTCAGACGTTTACCACATAAACCCACCAACATGGGTGAGGTGGCACAAGTCTCAGACGTTTACCACATAAACCCACCAACATGGGTGTGATGGCGCAGGTCTCAGACATTAACCACATAAACCCACCAACATGGGTGTGATGGCGCAAGTCTCAGACGTTTACCACATAAACCCACCAACATGGGTGTGATGGCGCAAGTCTCAGACGTTTACCACATAAACCCACCAACATGGGTGTGATGGCGCAAGTCTCAGACGTTTACCACATAAACCCACCTGCATGGGTGTATCGGCGCAAGTCTCAGACGTTTACCACATAAACCCACCAACATGGGTGTGATGGCGCAAGTCTCAGACGTTTACCACATAAACCCACCAACATGGGTGTGATGGCGCAGGTCTCAGACGTTAACCACATAAACCCACCAACATGGGTGTATTGGCGCAGGTCTCAGACGTTTACCACATAAACCCACCTGCATGGGTGTGATGGCGCAAGTCTCAGACGTTTACCACATAAACACACATGCATGGGTGAGGTGGCGCAGGTCTAAGAGTTTACCACATAAGCCCACCAACATGGGTGTGATGGCGCAAGTCTCAGACGTTTACCACATAAACCCACCAACATGGGTGTGATGGCGCAAGTCTCAGACGTATACCACATAAACCCACCTGCATGGGTGTGATGGCGCAAGTCTCAGACGTTTACCACATAAACCCACCAACATGGGTCTGATGGCGCAAGTCTCAGACGTTTACCACATAAACCCAACAACATGGGTGTGATGGCGCAAGCCTCAGACGTTTACCACATAAACCCACCAACATGGGTGTGATGGCACAAGTCTCAGACGTTTACCACATAAACCCACCAACATGGGTGTGATGGCGCAGGTCTCAGACATTAACCACATAAACCCACCAACATGGGTGTGATGGCGCAAGTCTCAGACGTTTACCACATAAACCCACCAACATGGGTGTGATGGCACAAGTCCCAGACGTTTACCACATAAACCCACCAACATGGGTGTGATGGCGCAAGTCTCAGACGTTTACCACATAAACCCACCAACATGGGTGTGATGGCGCAAGTCTCAGACGTTTACCACATAAACCCACCTGCATGGGTGTATCGGCGCAAGTCTCAGACGTTTACCACATAAACCCACCTGCATGGGTGTGATGGCGCAAGTCTCAGACGTTTACCACATAAACCCACCAACATGGGTGTGATGGCGCAGGTCTCAGACGTTAACCACATAAACCCACCAACATGGGTGTATTGGCGCAGGTTTCAGACGTTTACCACATAAACCCACCTGCATGGGTGTGATGGCGCAAGTCTCAGACGTTTACCACATAAACACACATGCATGGGTGTGATGGCGCAGGTCTCAGACGTTTACCACATAAACCCACCAACATGGGTGTGATGGCGCAAGTCTCAGACGTTTACCACATAAACCCACCAACATGGGTGTGATGGCGCAAGTCTCAGACGTTTAC